TTAACAAAAATAGTATGTATAATAAATAAAACCGAAGTTTTTATATACTGTTTCACAGAAAAAACGATGAAGTTTTTATGTACTTCAAATCGTTTTACGAATTTCAATACTCTGATAAAGTTTTTATATCTTCAAATCAGAATAGTAAAATTCAGAAGGAGTAGAAAACCACACAGGTTTTAATCTCCACAAACAAAATACAGAATATAAAAAAAAATAATTTCTTTAAGATTGTTATTATTTTGTATTGCTGTGATAAACAATTTAACTTTCTGAAAAAAAACAAAACAGAAAGTTAGTAATACTTGTTTAACGAAATAGATTCTGAAAAACAAAAACAGTATAGGAATAAATCGAGCCCACTGAATACACAGTGTGTTCTTAAGAAAATTATTCCTCTCAAGTACCCGAGGTGCTGGAATATATCCTCCCAGGCTAGAACAATTTAACTCACCAGTGTATTGGTACCAAAAACTCTGATGAACTGCGAACCACTCAATGGTCATAAAACACACTGAAAAATATTGTGCAGAAGAAGAAGAAGAAGAAGCTCAGAAAATTTCGTAAGGAAAGATTCTGGGATTCAAACTCTATTTATAGAGTTGCTGGCATTGTTTCTGAAAAGGTTTGCAACCTTTCAGANGTATTTAAAATAATCCGGGAAAGAAAACGGGCCTGACCGAACCGGGTCGCGGGTCATTGGTTATTTCGGATTGAATTTTTTCGTTAATTATTTAATTAATTAATTAAATAATTGAAAGGAATTTTGTCCAAAAAGATTAATCAATCAATCGATCTTTGACCAAATCCAAATCCGAATCGCCGAGTCGAGCGAGTGACGACGACGACGGCACGAGGCTTGCCTTTTTTCTTAACTCTCTAAGAGCTAGAAGAAGAGCAATTATATATATACCCATCAAAAACTTTTTCTTCCTTCGATATGGGACAATGTCCATTTCCCAAGGGAAACTCAAATATTTTATTTCCCTTCCATTTCTCATTCACCCTCTTTAAGCTACACAAGCTTAAAATTCCAACAGGATATGCCGTGCAAACATGAGTGGTCGGTAACGATCCGACCTGTTATTTTGAACATTTGTATTCCGTTCAATAGTTTGAGGTCATGAGTAGCTTCATGTGGTGTATAATGACTTATGTGTATTGTCTGTTTTGGTTTTCGAGTGATTCGAGATTGATTTGGAAGAATGATTCTCAATTTGGAAGCTTTAAGTTGAAAGGGTTGACCGAGTTTGACTTTTGTGAAATTGACCTCAGATTGGAGTTTTTATGGTTCCGTTAGGTTCGGATGGTGATTTTGGACTTGGACGTATGCCCGGATTTGCATTTAGATATTTCTAGAAGGTTTTGGCACTATTTGACAAAAGTTGACAATTTGAAGGTCTAGAAAGTTTAGAGGTTTGACCGAAAGTTGACTTCGGAGTTATCGGGCTTGGATTGTTATTCTGAAAGTTGGAATATGTTCGTTGTGTCATTTGAAACTTGTGTGCAAAATTTGAACTAATTCCGAGTTGTTTAGAGGTGTTCAGTGTAAGTTTGGAATTTGGAAATTTGAAAAAATCGCCTCTCACCAAGTCTAGGGTTCAAAATATGAAAGAATGAGCTAAAATCCTGAAATTACAACTCTTAACCCAGTTGCAGATGTGTCATATTTGCGAAATAAAAGGTCGCAATTGCGATCACAGGTTCGTGACTGCGGGCTCGCAATTGCGACTAGAAGTTTGCAAATGTGGTAGTTCGCAATTGTGAAGTACTAGCACCAACAATCCCAAACTTCACCGAAATGATCTGAAACTCATCCCGAACCTCCCTGACACAAACCCTATATGCATTTCAATCATGACCTTTTGAATCTATCTTTTTCCTTTTCTTATTTCTCCAGCACTGAACCAATACATATTTCTATTTCCAGTAAACAATCAATCTCTTATTGGTGAACTTCCTAACCTTTCCCACGGATTAAAGACAAAAGCTGAAGCGGAGCTCATACTTCAGGGTAGCTGCAACAACTATATAGACTGTATCTTTGAGCAGCGCACTCATGGTTGTGGGAAGAACATTAGAGTGGATAATCTTGTCTCTATTAAAAATCTTGAACTTTGTAGCTGAATCTCTTCTAATACCCTATTTATGTATTTGTCTCAATTTACTTGTACTCAAAATCTCATTGTTTCTTTGCTGAAAGGCTGAATGTGATATAAATGTCAAGCGCAAGATCCTTTTACCAATTATAATCTGCTGTCTACTTTCTATACAGCTGCCTCATTGTTATTTTACCTGGCTCAATATCGAGGCCAATGCTATATGCAATGCACCTATTCACAACTATTCATGTTGCATCTTCTAATGGTCATATTAACCCCGTTAAATCATTACTCCCTTTAGCTCGATAGAAAATGTGAAGCAATACCTTTCTGTTTGACATTGTAATTTCTGTTAATTTCCTCAGGTGATAGAGCCATTACGTACATACCCAAAGATTTTAAACAGTAATGTGAACCGAGGACTTTTCTCTTTCAAAAGAAATAAGAACAGCTAAGCTGGGAATTGTTATCAGGTTGCCAGCATACCAGATGTTTGTGACAGGTTCAGACTATTAGTATGTTAATTAGGTAATCCACATTGACTTTCTGAGGTAACGGACCTGAAGCCAAGTGGATGAGAAGTTCAACTACTTAGGTCCTTAAGTAACAATAAAAATCTTGAAACTACTCTTTTGCATGCATCTAAAACCTATATATAGCAATAGACTTAAAGAAAATAGCACATATCCGAGTTTCAATGATTCTATACACATCCTTCTTTAAGCTTCTAGGATATGCAGAAAATGGCTCACCATTACCAACTATCCTCCCTCTTACTGCTTTCATTTGTCAATTTATGCTTCATGAATGGCCACATAACATGTGCAACTGCACGTCACCTACTAGAGACGCCCCACCCTGAGATTCCTAAACCAGAATTTCCAAAAGTTCCAACCTTGCCAAAGCCTGAGATCCCAAATGTGCCGAAGCCTGAGCTTCCAACCATCCCAAAGCCTGAAATACCAGCTGTTCCAAAGCCTGAGATTCCTATTATACCAAAACCTGAAGTACCAATTGTGCCAAAGCCCGAGCTACCATATATCCCGAAGCCCGAGTTACCAACTTTGCCAAAACCTGAGATCCACGCTATGCCCAAGCCTAAGTTACCAGTTGCCCCAAAGTCTGAGTTCCCAACTGTGCCAAAACCCGTGCTTCCTACTGTACCGAAGCCTGAGATCCCAGCAATGCCAACAACCGAGCTTCCTCCCCTGAAAAAGCCAGAAATCCCAACAGTGCCAAAGACTGAGGTTCCTCCAGCTATGAAAAAGCCTGAAGTTTCAGCTATGCCAAAGCCCGAGGTACCAATTGTGCCAAAGCCAGAAATCCCAGAACTACCAAAGCCAAAAATCTCGGAGCTACCAAAGCCAAAACTACCAAAGCTTCCAACGCTAGAAGTCCCAGCTATGCGAAAGCCTGAAATCCCAAAACTGCCTAAACCAAAAGAGATACCTTTTCCTTCACTTTCTCCACCACACAAACCCACTACTCCTTGAGTACTTATAATACTGTTCACTATATTGGAAGGTACCTAACTGTGTTTTAAGATTTTTATCTTTGTCTGTGAAATTTGCTGCGGGGCATGACATGGAGATAGTTTGGCAGAACATATTGGATACTTTCTCTAGGAGTAGAAATTATGATTCTTTTATAGTATTTGAATTGGATGTACCATGTTTATCGTGTCATTATACTATATGAGTATTTTATGTACTTTCTATACGGAGTAATAAAGCTATGATCTATTTCACTTTCTAGAGTTACTTTTATTTAGTTCCTATCGTTGGCCATATCTGATTTTGCTCAATCGTTTTCCCCCCTACTCCCCTTCGTTTATTTAAAACCTATTACCACTTTCTTCCTTCACAAAGAGATGGAAATGATGAATTAACACATTAAAGCACCGGTAGAATAATCTGATCCAAATACAAGAATTGAACTAAATATTCAAGCATTTGTTCCTTTCTGTCTCATTCACCCTAATGCACATCGGATTCAGTTACCACAATTTTGCATGCTCTAAAAGAAACATAAAAACAATGGGGATACCTGGTTCCTCTCAAGAGGGAGATTGTGCTTGTGGAGCAATTGATAGTTATGGACAAATGAACTAGCTAAAATTTCTCTAACACATTCCTTATTACAAAAAAATCTCTAACACTTTATTGTGGGACCATCTCATCTAGCATTCAAGTTTATTCCTTAACGTATGGAAACTTTTTTAGTAATAGGTGGCAGTGAGTCCTGAATCTAGGACCTCTATCCGCTCTAATCCATATTGAATTGTATGACCATTTCATCTAAAAACAGAAATTGTTAGGAAGGTGGGTACATTTTCATTTACTTAATCAAATCTTCAATAATCGTGACCTTTTGAATTATCTTTGTTTTCCCTTTTCATTTCTCCAGCACTAAACCAATATAACATATTGCTATTTCTAGTAAACAATCAATCTCTTTTCGGTGAACTTCCTAACCTTTCCCACGGATTAAAGACAAAAGCTGAAGCGGAGCTCACACTTCAGGGTAGCTACAATGACTATATATATATACACTTGTACCTTTGAGCAGTGCACTCATGGTTGTGGGAAGAACTCTTGATTGGATAATCTAGTCTCTATTAAAATCGGGAACTTTGGAGCTGAATCTCTTCTAATACCCTGTTTATGTTTTTGTCTGAATTTACTTGTATTAACAATCTCATTGTTTCTTTGATGAAAGGCTGAATGTGATATAACTGTCAAGCGCGAGATCCGTTTTACCAGTTGTAAAAGAATCATCTGCTGTCTACTTTCTATACAGCTGCCTCATTGTTCTTTTACCTGGCTTAATATCGAAACCAATGATATATGCAATGCAACTATTCCTGAGTCTGGATTTGATATGCTAATGTTTTAGCTATTGTCTATTTTCATTTCCTGAAAAATCATATGAACTGTCAAAGTGTATCATTTGAACCTAAAGAATAATCGGATTATGCTAAGTCTACGCCATTGTGGTAAGTTTGTGCTATGTAAAACCAAGTTCCTTTTTCCCTCTGTTTTAATACGTTAGGCTTGAGTGCCATTCTTTTGCCTACCTCTTTACTTACAATTCTAATTTTGCTAGTTCAATAATAACGGGTAATATGTGACTAATTAGGTAAGTTTACGATTTTCCCCCACTTCTGGTCGTCCATTTCATCACGGTGCATCCTCTAATAGTCATATTAACCATTAAAATATTACTCCGTTTAGCTGGATAGAAAATGTGAAACAATACCTTTTTGTTTGACATTTGTAATTTCTGTCAATTTCCTCAGGTGATAGAGCCATTACGTGCATACCAAAATAAAGTACAGTAAATGTGAACCGGACTTTTCTCTTTCTAAAGAAATAAGAATAGCTAATCTGGGAATTGTTATAAGGTTGCCAGCGTACCAGATGTTTATGACAGGTTAAGACTTTTAGTATGTTATTAGGTAATCCACATTGACTTTTTGAGGTACCAGAGCTGAAGCCAAGTGGATGAGAAGTTCAACTACTCAGGTCCTTATGTAACAAACAAAATCTTGAAGCTATTTTTGCATGCATTTTAAAACCTATATATAGCAATACACTTAAAAGCCAATAGCACATCCCAGTTTCATTAATTCTACATATATCATTTTTAAGCTTCTAGGATCTGCAGAAAAATGGCTCACCATTACTAGCTATCCTCCCTCTTACTACTTGCATTTCTCAACTTGTGCTTCATGCATGGCCCCATAACTGGTGCAACTGCACGTCGTCGTCTTCTAGAGACACCCCTCCCTGAGATTCCTAAACCAGAATTTTTGAAAGTTTCGGTCTTGCCAAAGCCTGAGATCCCAACTATGCCGAAGTCTGAAATTCCAGCCATACCAAAGCCTGAAATACCAGCTATCCTAAAGCTTGAGATCCCAACTGTGCCGAAGCCTGAGCTTCCAACCATCCCAAAGCCTGAAATACCAGCCGTCACAAAGCCTGAGATTCCTATTATGCCAAAACCTCATGTACCAGCTGTGCCAAAGCCCGAGCTACCATCCATCCCAAAGCCTGAGTTACCAACTATGCCAAAGCCTGAAGTACCAATTGTGCCAAAGGTCAAGCTACCAGCTATTCCAAAGCCTGAGTTACCAATTTTACCAAAGCCAGAAGTACCAACTGTGCCAAAGCCCGAGCTACCCACCATCCAAAAACCTGAGTTACCAACTTTGCCAAAGCATGAGATCCCAGCTATGCCAAAACCCGAGCTTCCTGCTATGCCAAAGCCTGAGATTCCAGCAATGCCAAAACCTGAGTTTCCTCCCTTGAAAAAGCCAGAAATCCCAGCAGTGCCAAAGACTGAGGTTCCTCCAGCTATAAAAAAGCCTGAAGTTCCATCTTTCCCAAAGCCTGAGATGCCAGCTATGCCAAAGCCAGAAATACCAGAGCTACCAAAGCCAAAACTCCCAGAGCTTCCAAAGCCTAAAATCCCCGAACTGCCTAAACCAGAAGTTCCAGCTATGCCAAAGTCTAAGATCCCCGAACTGCCTAAACTAACTTTTCCTTCACTTTCTCCACCATACAAAACCTCTACTCCTTGAATAATTACGTGCTACTGTTCACTCTATTAGAAAGTACCCGAACTGATGCTTTGAGATACGTATCTCAGTCTATAAAGTTTGCTGCATGGGCCATGACATGGAGAAAGTCTGGAAGAACATATTGGATACTTTCTGCTAGGAGTAGAATATATATATAAATTCATTTGTAGTATTTGATGTACCATGTTTCGCTTGTCATTATATTATATATGAGTCTTTAATCATTTATGTACTTCCTATATAAAGATATATGATCTATGTCACCTTTTGGAGTTACTTTGATTTAGTTCCTTTTGTTGGCCATCTCTGATTTCAATCATTGTTTGTCTGACTTTTCCCGCTGCTGTTTTTGATCTTTAACCTGTTACTTCCTTCTTCCGATCCATTCTCGTTTGAAATTTTGATGTATTTTAGAACCAAACCGGAGATTTAGTCTTTTGTTGCTTTCTTTCATTCATCCTGATGCACATTGGATTCAGTTACCAAGAAACATAAAAAATAATGGGGTATGTACTTGGTTCGTCTCAAGGGGGAGGGTTGTGTTTGTTGACTGATTGATAGCTTGGAACATATGAACAGAAAATTTTTATATCCTTCTTTATGCTCAGAATTCTGCAATGGGGAAGTTTCAATTTCCAGGAATAAATTAATCAACTTATTTTAAGACTCCATTTGTACTAGGACGTCTCAGAAATGTTACTAGCAGTGCTGTTTTACTAGTAATAATATTGTTCTGTAAAACATTCATAACTTTAAGAATTCAAATATTTCATTTATAATTTACTAAAATTGTACTAATTTTTCCTGCATAAAAATTAACTTATCGTTGACTTTATTTTCTCACTACTAACTTATATCATTCAAATTAATACTGAAATGGCGCATCCAGTCAAACAATGTCCCAAAAAAATAGGACTGAGGTAGTTTCTATTTATATAGTGAAAAATATTTAGTCCAAAGTTCAACTATTTTAGGTATAGTAAGATTGAACCAGCAGTACCACCATGACGGTAACATTGGGATAGATACGCTTACCAGCCTTGTCAAGTTCAATTGTCTAATTTACCAAGCATGAGGTGTTTTCTTCGCCCGCCTCTGGTTTACTTTCATTAAATTAGAAAAATAACGAACGGGAGCCTTGGAGCAACGGTAAAGTTATTTCCGTGTGACCTATAATTCACGGGTTCAAACCGTGGAAGCAATTATTAACCCTTGCATTAGGGTAGGCTGACTACATCATACCCTGAGTGCGGCGCTTCTCCGGACCCTGCGTGAACGCGAGATGCCTTGTGCGCCGGACTGCCCTTTAATTTAGAAAAACAACAAATATAGAAAGGACATCAATTACATTGTGATTGCAAATTTAGAGTTGATAAAACCTCTACTAGGTGATGCTTAAGGTAGTTAGTTATTAACATATTTTGCCTCCTGGATAATCATATTAATTAGCTGTAGATCCGGCAATTAACTCTCTAGCTATTGATAAATTATGTTAATGAATTTTTCTAATTGGCACTCATAAATTCTAGCAATTTCCCTTCTTTAGAGCCATTAGTATAGTCAGTAAGCAGACGAAGGTTACATAGAATGCGATGCAAATATTGATTTCTTTGCAAGAAAGTTGAACAAATGTTTTCTACCAAGTGCCAGCTTATTAGATCTGATAATGACGGGTTTTGACTATTATGGTATAGTAGTAGTAGATAGTATATTGTTAATAAACAGATTTTGACATACCAGAAGAAAAATTCAAGATAATATTGGCAGCCAAATAGATGAGAAGTTCAACTAACACATCCCTTCCCAACAACCAAAATATTGAAGTCCTCCGATCCTTGTTGCATGCATGTAAAACCTATAAATAGAAATACCCTTAAATCCAATGCAACATCTGAATTTCACTGATTTTGTAAACACGTCCTTCTTTAAGCTACAAGTATCTGCAGAAATATGGCTCAGCATTATCACCTATCCTCCCTATTACTACTTGCATTTCTCAACTTATGCTTCATGCATGGCCACATAACATGTGCAACTGCACGTCACCTACTAGAGACGCCCCTCCCTGAGATTCCTAAACTAGAATTCCCGAAAGTTCCAACCTTCACAAAGCCTGAGATTCCTAAACCAGAATTCCCAAAAGTTCCAACCTTGCCAAAGCCTGAGATTCTAACTGTGCCAAAGCCTGAGCTTCCAACTTTACCAAAGCCCCAAGTATCGACTGTGCCGAAGCCTGAGCTGCCAGTTGTCCCAAAGCCTGAGTTGCCAACTTTGCCAAAACCCGAGATCCCAGTTGTGCCAAAGCCCAAGCTACCTGCTATGCCAAAGCCTGAGATCCCAGCAATGCCAAAACCCGAGTTGCCAAACATACCAAAGCCTGAAATTCCAACCGTTCCAAAGCCTAAGATTCCTACTATACCAAACCCTGAGCTACCAACTTTCCCAAAGCCTGAGATCCCAACGGTGCCAAAGCCTGAGATTCCAGCCGTGCCAAAGCCGGAGATCCCAAAGTTGTCAAAACCTGAACTTCCTCCCCTAAAAAGCCAGAGGTTCCCGCAATGCCAAAGACTGAGCTTCCTCCAGCAATGACAAAGCCTGAAGTGCCGACTGTACCAAAGCTTGAGCAACCAGCGGTGCTAAAACTTGAGATTCCAGCTGTGCCAAAGCCAGAAATTCCCGAGCTACCAAAGCCAAAAATTCGAGAGCTACCTAAGCCAGAGATTCCAGCTATCTCAAAATCAGAAATCCCAGAACTGCCTAAACCAACATTGCCAACCTCCCCAAGCCTACCAAAGGAGATACCATTTCCTTCACTTTCTCCACCTTACAAACCCGATACTCCTTGAGTAATTATATATATATGGTACTGGTCATTCTATATAGAAGGTACCCAATTAAGGTTTTGATATTGCCACCTCAGTCTGTGAAGTTTGTTGCATGGTCATGACATGGAGTTAGTTTGTCAGAACATATATTGGATACTAGCTTTCTGCTACGTTTATAATATAATTCATTTGTAGTATTTGATCTGAAATGTACCTTGTTTCACGAGTCATTATGACTCTATGAGTCTTATATGTAACTTTTATACATGGTATTAAAACTATGATTTTTGTGATTTTCTAGAGTTATTTTGATATAGTTCTTATCGATAGCCATCTCTGATTTTCATCCTAATGCACATTGGATTCGGTTACCGAAATTTTGCCTTCTCGAGAAGAAAGACAAACAATGGTTTTGTCCTCCGGGAGAGTTGTGAACTTGTGTTAACAGATTCATAGTTTTGAAATACACATGAATTAACTAAAGATTCATGAAGAATAGAGGATATTGTGAACTAAAGAAGCTAGTTAGTATCAGAACTGGTCCTCTGTATTGCATGCTTGGATATTACAGATTTTGTGTATCAGTGAGTTAGTGATGAAGAAGAGGCCTATTGCCATGTCGACATATAAACTAATGTTGTAAAATATCCAAGTATATGAGCTTTGTCAATTTTGGCAATGCAATATATTCTAAATTAAATATGTTTTGCTTATTTCATTTCATATATATTGTAGTAGTTTCTTTCACCATTGATCAATACGACGTCTAATGGCACTTGCGCTTAATAGAAGCGTCACTTAGGATTGTCCACCATGTGCTCATTTCATATTGCTATTCTTTCTGCAATGCTTGGCGAACTACTGGATCATTACATTTAAGTTTATACTGTGATAAACATTTCATAATTTAAAATCCACCATTTCTATGTAGAGTTGGAAAGAACCAGCAATGCCAGTTCTATTAGGATTAGCATTGTGCTATGCCCGTGTAAGTTCAAATTCTCTATTTTACTAGACCTAAGTATTTGTGTATCCTTTGGTATATTTCTCTTTTGTTCAGGACAAACACCTAACACTTATTAGAGCATAAGTTAACCACCAGCTACTTTACTGCTTTGACCCATTCTTTAGCTAGTAGTTAGGATTTTGTTAGTTCTTTATTTTCTCAAATAAATCTCCTTATTCAAGGAGTTTGTTTAGCAAGTAGTTGAGTCCTCCTCTTCGAGAGGAGTTAGTTTGGGGAATTATTTTTTTCACTCTTGTATTTAAAGGTTGCTTTGATTCAATAAAGTAATTAAACCTCAACAAACTCTAACGAGTAAGATCCTATCTTTTTTCTCTCCCACCCACCCTCCACAAATGGCCAACACTACTAGAGTTGTTAATGCTGATAACAATAGTGGTGTGATGGTCGTCCAATTTAATCCTGCGTCACAATTGCCAATAAAATTACAAGGCAGCCACAACTTTGCAACTTGGAATGCACAATTTTCCATGATTATGCATGGTCATGATCTTTATGGTCATTTAGATGGGCCTACCCCTGCTCCATCTCGCACTATCACAACTAACACAGTCCTTAGTGCCAATCCTGCATTTGCTCTTTGGTTTCGTCAAGACCAACTCATTCAAAATGCACTTATGGCATCCGTTGATCCAACAATTGCCACTACTGTTGCACCTGCTGATTCAGCACAAAAGCCTGGGATGCATTGCACACTGCACCAGTCACTGAATATTTGCAAAATATTCGATCCATGGCTGACGAACTCTCTACTGCTGGTGCCCTTGTCACAAACTCTGAACTCATTGTTAAGATCCTGAGTAGTCTTGGACTAGAGTTTCGTGAGATTTCTGCTGCAATTCGTGCTCGTGACTCCACTATTATGTATGAAGAACTCTATGAGAAGCTTCTTGATCATGGACTTTTCCTTAGACATGAAGAGTCAAAGAAAGCTCCTAGCCAGATTACTACTGTTGTTGCTACATTCAACAAATCTGGAAACTCGAACAATCGTAACAATCGTCGCTCCAACAATAACAATGGCAGCAACCAACAATGGCGATACAACAATCACTTTAATTCACAAAATCAGGGGCGTTCTTCGAACACCAACAACTCTTATGATGGTCTTCGCTGCCAGTTGTGCAACAAACCAGGTCATGTTGCAAGTGTATGCAGATCCATATCTCACAATCATTTTGAGGCCAAGGCCAACTATGTTTCGGGAATGCACGCATCAGTAAATCCCTGGATTCTCGAATCTGGAGCATCTCACCACATAACTGATAATCCTCACAACTTGCAGAAATACAATGGCATGGAGCAGGTCTCCCTGGGTGATGGTAACAAAATACCAATAACTCACACTAGTTTAACTCAATTACATGCATCAAAAAATACTTTTAAACTTTCTAACACTCTCTGTGCTCCTAGCATTAAACGCAACTTACTCTCCGTTTCTAAATTTTGTCAAGATAACCTAACCTCTATTGAATTCTTTCCGTTTCACTTTTCTGTGAAGGACCTGGAAACGCGGAATCCGTTGGTGCACGGTCCGAGGAGTAGAGACGGTCTCTATGAGTGGCCAACGTCACCTTCCATATCTTCTCCTAAAGCACATTTTCCCTCCACCAACACATCCATCTTCACCTGGCATCGTCGATTGGGTCATCTTCACCTTGCTCGCGAGACAAATTTTTAGTTTGTAATTCTTGTTCATCGAATAAGGCTCATCGCCATCCTTTTCAAAATCTTACTTTATCAAGTTCCAAACCATTTCAAACAATATTTAGTGATTTATGGGTTCCTTCTCCGGTTTTATCGATTGACAAAAAAACATACTATTGCATTTTTGTTGATCAATACACCAAATATACTTGGCTATATACATTAAAAAGTAAAAGTGAGGTTAAAGATCTTTTCAAAAATTATCAAGCATTAATGGAACGACGTTTCAATACAAAAATTCTTTCTATCTATACAAATGGTGGTGGAGAATATAAAAGTCTTGATCTATACCTACGTTCTCAGGGTATTGAACATCTTTTATCTCCCCCATACACCCCCCAAAGAGTCGCTCTTGCCGAAAGACGTCACCGACAGATTATTAAAACGGCAAGAACTTTACTTCATGAAGCTTCGCTTCCACTGACTCTTTGGTCTTTTGCTTGTCAACATGCGGTTTATATTATAAATCGCCTGCCAACCTCGCTTTTACAAAATAAATCACCTTTTCAAATATTGTTTGGTAACGATCCAGATTATAATTCTTTAAACATTTTCGGGTGTCTCTGTTATCTCTGGCTCAAACCCTATTCAAAAAATAAATTAGAGCCACAGTCAACACCTTGTGTTTATTTAGGTTATTCTTTAAATTATTATTGTCATCAATGTTTTGATCCGAAATCTTTCAAAATATATTTATCTCGAGATGTAAATTTTTTTGAAAATAATTTTCCTTTTCAGAATATCTTTTCAAATATTTGCTTAAATTTTAAAACTCTTGCGTGGGAAAACCTAACTGAAACTAACCCAACAAAATCTCCTATTTTTTCTCTTCCCATAATTAGTGAATTACCCAACACTATACTTATCCCAAATACAGAAACTAGCGCTCACAAAGACACCGTATCCTCTGCCTGTGCTCCAACAGAATCTGCAACTACAGGTATATCTTCTACTTCTCCTCGTACAAATTCTGTTGTTCCTCCTGAACTTAATGATACCCAATCTTATTCCCCATTACCATCCCCAACAGTTATCCCAATAAATTCAAATGTCTCCTCTCCTCCACAATCACTACGTACATTATCACCACCCCCTTTCTCACACCTATATATTCTCAACAACCATTCACCCCAATCCCATATCCTCAACCACCATCTTTTCCAATTGTATACAGTCGCAGAACGACCAAAATGACAACTACTGGCCAAACCACTGTTGATCGTACCACTGCCTCAACTCCGCAACCTACACAACCTTCTCTCCCTCCTCCAAATCGTGTTGTGACTCGTTCACAAAATAACATTCACAAATCGAAAACGATCCTTGACTTCATGGCTCACTTATCCCCCACCATCACCCCTACTAGTTTTAGACAAGCTAACAAACACCCAGAGTGGTAGAGAGTAATGAAAAGTGAATTTGATGCATTATTGAATAATCAGACATGGGAATTGGTACCATATGACCCCACAAAAAATATTGTTCCGTGCAAGTGGTTATACAGGTTAAAGAGAAAAGCTGATGTGACGATCGATCGCTCCAAGGCTCGTCTTGTTGCAAATAGGTTTACACAATGCCCTAGAATTGACTTTCATGCTACTTTTAGTTCGGTTGTCATACCGACTACTGTGCGCTTGATGCTTTCGATTGCTGTCCAGCAGAATTGGCCCATATGTCAGCTTGATTTCAACAACGCGTTCTTGTAGGGTCACCTAGAAGAAGAAGTCTACATGGTCCAACCTCTAGATTTTGAAGACGAGCAGTTCCCCGCACATATATGTCGCCTAAAGAAAGCTATATACGGACTCAAGAAAGCTCCTCGGGCCTGATTCAATGAACTTAAGACGTTTCTTCTTTATTTGGGATTTGTCAAGTCCGAATCTGATGCATCGCTTTTCATTCGCAAAGTGTCGAACAACGTGTTGTATGTGCTGGTTCATGTCGACGATATCATCATCACCGAAAGCCATAGCTCATATGTAAATCAAGCTATACGTTGTATTGCTGGTCGTTTTTCCATTAAGGATCTCGGAAACCTTAATTTTTTTCTCGGAGTTGAGGTGCTCCATGTTGCAGATGGAATTACTCTATCACAATCCAATTACATTAGTAAAATCCTCTCTGAAGAAAATATAAAAGACTGCAATTCTGCAAAAACTCCAATGAGTTCCAGTGAAGTGCTTCAACAAAATGATGGAGCGGAACCAACTGTTGCCACTCGCTACAGGAGAGTTCTTAGAAAACTACAGTACTTGTCGTTCACTCGTCCAGACATAAGTTTCTCTGTGAACAAATTGTCTCAATTTATGCACTCCCCATATGAAGTACACTGGAAAGCACTCAAACGGGTACTTGGGTATCTTCAAGGAACAATTCAGTTTGGTCTTCGCATTCAAAGAGATAATAATTTCAAGGTACACATGTATTCTGATGCGGATTGGGCTGGAGATGCGAGTGATCGAGCCTCCACTACTGGTTACATGCTATTTTTTGGCCAAAATCCTATGAGCTGGTCATCCAAGAAACAAAGAATAGTTGCTCGCTCATCAACCGAAGCAGAGTATCGAGCGGTTGCAAGTGCACTTGCTGAAACAAATTAGGTGACGAATTTGCTAAATTAACTACATGTTTCACTTCCACAAGCACCAACCATTTACTGTGACAATGTTGGTGCAACTTATTTGTGCGAAAAGCTAGTCTTCCATAGCCGCATGAAAGTGGACTTTCACTTTGTTCGAAAGTAAGTCCAACATAATCAAGTTCGCATTGTTCATATTCATACTGCAGATCAGCTCGCGGATACTCTCACCAAAGCACTACCAAAGCCAGCCTTTGATAGAGACTTATTCAAGCTAGGCGTAGTTACACACTGCCTAACTTGAGGGGGGTGTATTAGAGCATAAGTTAACCACCAACTACTTTACTGCTTTGACCCATTCTTTAGCTAGTAGTTAGGATTTTGTTAGTCTTTTATTTTCTCAAATAAATCTCCTTATTCAAGGAGTTTGTTTAGCAAGTAGTTGAGTCTTCCTCTTCGGGAGGAGTTAGTTTAGGGAATTGATTTTTTCACTCTCGTATTTAAAGGTTGCTTTGATTCAATAAAGTATGTTAGCTTTTTGTGTTTCTCTTGTTCTTATAACACTAAGATGTCTCTCTTTTGCCCAACTCTAACAAAATAATAATAAAAGATGTAACTACATTGGGTTTTTCCAATTTAGAGGTCTCCAATTATTCCTGTAATATATCTGATGAATAAGGTAGTAGATAGTTTGCTTCTTAATAGTGATATTTACTAGCCAAGAAATTCTTCAGCTGGTTAAGAAAATTAAACTAACTAATTGCTTTTCTATTTGGCACGCGTAAGATCTGTCAAGTTTCCTTTCTATGTAGAGCCATTAGTGAAGAGGAATTGTCAAACCTCAAAATATTCGAAGTAGGTTGTAACCAAATGAATTAGGTTAGCGTAAAATGTGACTTTTCAGGATTGTTTTCTTTGCGAGGAAATTAAAGCAACAGAACAGAAGTTTCTAACAAGTGCCAGCATATTAGATACGATGATGACAGATTTTGACTATCACGCTATTTGTAGGTATTTAGTTTAAAGGTTTGAGCTACCAGAAGACAAATATTCAAGAAAATATAGGAAAGCAAACAATCGATGAGAAGTTCAACTACACATCCCATTCCAACAACCATAATCTTGAAGTCCTCGTTATTCCATGCATGTAGAACCTCTCTCTCTCTCTCTCTCTCTCTCTCTCTCTCTCTCTATATATATATATATATATATATATATATATATATATACTTATAGTAAGAAACAGAAGGCCAAAGTCACATCTAGCCTTTACACATTCTTCTCTAAGCTTCTAGGATTTGCAGCAAAAAATGGCTCAGCATTGCCATCTATCCTACCTCTTACCACTTGTATTTCTCACCTTATTTATGTATGGCCACATAAACAGTGGTGTATCAGCACGTCGTCTTCTGGATACATCCCTTCCTGAAATTCCTAAACCGGGATTTCCAGAAGTCCCAGTCTTGCCAAAGTTTGAGATCCCAACTGTGCCAAAACCAGATCTTCCAACCATACCGAAGCCTGAAATCCCAGCCATTCCAAAGCCTGAGATTCCTACTATACCAAAACCTGAAGTACCAACTGTGCCAAAGCCTGAGATCCCAGCTGTGCCAAAGCCTGAGATCCCAGCTGTGCCAAAACCAGAGCTTCCAACCATACCTAAGCCCGAAATCCCAGCCATTCCAAAGCCTGAAATTCCTACTGTACCAAAACCTGAAGTACTAAGTGTACCAAAACCCGAGCTACCATCTGCGCCAAAGCCTGAGTTATCTACTTTATCAAAGCCTGAAGTACCAACTATGCCAAAACCCGAGCTACCATCTGTGCCAAAGCCTGAGTTACCTACTTTATCAAAGCCTGAAGTACCAACTGTGCCAAAACCTGAGCTACCAATTGTGCCAAAGCCTGAGTTACCAACTTTGCCAAAGCCAGAGATTTGAGTTACGCCAAAACCTGAGGTACCAAAGCTTGAGATTCCTAACATGCCAAAGCCAGAAGTACCAAAGCCTGAGATTCCAGATGTGCCAAAATATGAGGTCCCCGCAATGGCAAAACCCGAGCTTCCTCCCGTGAAAAAGCTAGAAATGCCAGCTGTGCCAAAACCAAATATACCAACTATGCCAAAGCCCGAGATTCCGAGTGTACCAAAGCCAGAAATTCCAGAACTGCCTAAACCAGAATTACCAACATTCCCAAGCCATCCAAAGGACACACCTTTTCCTTCTCTTTCTCCACCTTACAAACCTATAACTCCTTAAATATGATAATACTTCTA